ATAAATTTCGCGTGAAGGATCTCGATAGAATCCGGGATGAAATTTGAAACTCGCAGCCTGGTATTTTCGTATCGCGCTCCCCGGACAGGATTTCCTAACGTGCTAATTTACTTTTCACGACTTTGAGGAGACAAGCGAGAACCCTTAGAGACAGATTCGCGGTTTCATCCCCTAAGTGACAGTAATGTGGCCAGGATTGCGGCCACTGGAAAGTCTCGCAAGCGATATATCATCGTTAAAGGAATGTAAAAGATGTCTCTACGCTACTCCTTCATCGTTCCCCTTTACCCTTCTATCGCCAACAGTCGGACAAACATTTATTTTGCAAACCGAGAATTACACAGCATCGATTCCTAGACCTAGTCGAAGCGATCGATAAACGTAGACAGTTGATAAAATGTCTACTCGATTCGAAATCGTTCTTTGAACTAGGGACAATGAACGCAAGCAGCGACAAGATTTTCTATATCGACACGGTTTCTCTCTCCTGTAATGGGACCCGTATGTGTAATTTGCCGCTGGATCAACGGTTGTATCTCGATTAGAATTTCTTTGTACCCTCATACACGATGTACATGTGCCTTCCTCCCCCTTTCTCTCTCCCTGTGCTCTGCGTGTCTTCCAACGAAATCCTCGCGGACCAATGCGGGCACCTACAACGTTGCCATCCACGGATCCGTTTCAACAAACCATTAACATTAAATCCAGCCGAGCCATTAAACGAGCCCACATTTCGTCACCATCGGAAAAATTCCATGACACCGTCCTCTCTCTCCTAACGAATCCAATACTTCTTCCTCTCCCCCTGCGGCTTCGCGTCTCGTTAGCTGCGCCCGTTAGCAAAGTGACTGGCCGAGCGAAAAATGAGCAGCGAATAAATCATAGTTCCTGATATCGATCGACCAACATAACGACAGAGCCATAGAGCACCAACAACGGCACCACCAGCGATCGGAGGAACCCTGAGAACACACTTGGAATCGAACGCCTCGCCGCGTTCAAATCCAAAGATCCACGGTTGTTCGCGCGAGCTCGTCCATTTTCACGATCACGGCACGGTCACGAACTTCAAACTCTGTTCGATTGGTTGGTTGGCATTATAGCTGGCTGTAATTAGTGTACGAAACTGAGGGGTGAGAGGGAGGGAGCGGGGAGAGACCAGGGAGGAGGGATGGCAGCATACGTGTAATGCTCACGTTAATTACCTGACATGTTTAGCATGCATTACATCCACGTATACGCGGTAGCAGCGCCGACCCATCCTGACTGACTACCTGCTCGCCTGTTACGCTCTACCTACATGTATCCGTAGCCGAACCAAGCGCACGCCGCCCAAGTAATGAGCGAAACGAGAGAATTTTCCCCTAAGTTCCTCTAGCACGAACTTGAAATTGAAAGGAACCCACCAGCTAATATTAAGGCAACTATACATTGCTCGTTATTGCTTGCTTCATTTCTTCTCCTCTCTCTTTCATCCTCTGTTCTAACTCTTTAGGCTCAGTGCAAAGGAATTACGCGAACGTCGTTACAATTTCGCGTCAGTCACGTTACGCAATCTGATAAATTTATACGGCGTTTCTACGCCATGTAACAGACACGAGCGCGTAAAATTATTTTAAAAATAATAATTTTACTCAATTATTTTAGAAATTCACAGTTTGAATTCTTTTTCCTTCCATCCTTCCTATCTTTCTATCTTACCATCTTTCTAGCTTCTATCCCTTTTCATATTTGAGCAACTACAATCTTTTTTGATCGTGGAATAGATACATTTTACATAAGAAGTATATAATCAATTACTATTACTTTTGTATGATGCTAAAAATAGGACTCCAGTTACCTGCTTGTCTGGTATGGATTTATTTAAATTTTAACATTACCACCACCAGCGGAGCCATTAAGTTTCATCGTTACGCTCTTTCGTCCATTCAACATGTTCATTTGAACGAGAACGAAGAGATTTAACGATCGGACAAATACAAATCTGTCGTTAAATCGAATCAAACTCGAAGGTCGATCCCGTAGAGTTCATTTATAAATAATCCGACCGGATATTGGAATTACTAAAGGAACGACAAGATTCCCTGGTACACGTTCTCTGCTATTACTTTATTCAGTTGACGAAAACTGTCTCGATCGAAACACAGCGCGCGAAATGTATCATAAAATTTTCACACCGCGACGATCAATCGGATGGGAAAAAACGATTAGAATCCGTAGCCGAAAGAACGATTAATGCTGCGGAAAAGGTAAATGGACGGTGAAGTGGACACGAGCGGCCGTTACGATCAGCTATCCGAAATAATGCATAGAACGTAGAGTGCACGTAACGGAATAACAATTTCCTACTGCATTAATTAGAGGTCGACGAGGCGTGAAATCGAGGTTTACGAAGCGTCAACTAGTTTTACACATCGCGACGGAATAATAACGTCGCGACACGACTAGAATCCCGAATACATTACCTAGCCAGCGCGACCGCGACCTCTGCTGGATCGCTGAAAACCAAGGGATCAAGGGGCGGCCGGTGACCCCCCTGCAACCGCGGCGGTGGTCCGTAATGATTAACGACGAGCGTTAATGCCCGAAATTCGATCGCCATGCAGCAATTATCGCAAACACAGGCGAGACTAGGCGCGAGATATCCGACGCCTTGAAACAAAAAAAAAAAAAGAAAGGAAAAGCAGCGAGCGTGAACGACTGGAAGATCGTCGAAACGAACGTACGTACGACAAAAACACTCGCGATGCAAACGAGAATACAGTTACTCTTCGTACGCTGTAATTTTAATTTGACACGTAGAACGTTCGCAAAATTGCGGTGTTTAATTGCGATCAACCGTGTAATGACCGGCAGCGGTCAATTAACACTTCCAAGATCGGCGTGCACGTGTAGGTGCGCGACAGCAAGACCATACGGCACGTACACCGTGAAAACCGGTCGTCGAGTATGTATGTATTGAACGAGTATACGAGTACACGTAACACGCGAAGTAGACGCCTGGAATTGGCGTTTTTTGTTTCCCGATATCAATTTCGGAGCGACGATGAGGGGCTTTTAATTGGGACTGGCGATGCTGGTTGGCAGTGGCGACGTTGCTGATGGCGACCGAATCGTCCATCGACAGTAATGGAACGCGATAAATGCAAGCAAATCTCGATGTAGAGAGATCCGCTATTTTTTTTTTTTTTTTTTCTTCTTTCTTTTCGATGAATACGGCCTATCCAAAAATTAACCGTCAAGTGGGGACATTGAATGACGAAACTGTCGATTTCGTATCGATTTTAACGATTTATGGCGCTCGGTTGTTCAAGGATGTAAAGAAATGGAAAAGTTGAAAGTATCTACTTATACATGCGTATATCCTCAAAAAATTGAAACGAAAAGTTATGAATATTATTTCAAATAAATACTATATATTGCATCTATCCCATGATTATCTGTAACATTTAAATTCTGTTCAAACGCAATATTATCGACAGTACTTCCGAATGCTATTTGGTTCTCGAGGGGAAAAAAAAAATTGCTGATATGATACTTTCTCGCTAAGATAGCAAAGCATCGTTTTCTACTACAAACGTAAGTCTGTATCAATCGATGAAAAATAGACGCTAATATTTGAAAGTTTACTTCGAAAGTTTTACTTTTGGCGGCGCCAAAAGAATCATTATCGGCTGCAATAACTCATCAACAAACTATGAATAGACGTCGTCGTCCAGTTCCTTTCACATTTTGTTGTTCTCGCTGCATTCTACGAATCTCACGTTTCGTGGTTATGTTATATCAATAATTTCGAAAAATTTGTATTTAAGACTTGTATCGATATCGGTACAAAAAAGAATATCAAAATATTACAACTATAAGGCAACGCAATCTAAAAGCGGGAAAATTCATTGGCGACCGTTTGAAAGGACAACTAGTAACTCGAAAAATACCTTTGTCATTTTTGGCGATGATTGCTTCTCGCAGCGATACAATAACTTCGCCCGCAGCAGGTCTCGCAGTCGATGATTCTGGAAGTGGTTATATTTCACTGAACACATTCTATTACAAAGTTACAATTTGATCGATCGTAGGAAGCGAATATGTACCGTCTGACCCGCACGGGAAACGTGAACTCCACCTTGATTTGAATTACACGTAGAAAAATGACACTGACCTTTGTCCATCTAGCGAGCGAGCATCGAACTAGAAATTCAACATTCGAGCGGTAACTGCCCTACTAGCGACTTTATCTCTGAATTCGGCGACGTCACTTCCCCTGCTTATCGCTTAAGTAAATTATTCACGTTCTAAAACTAGATTGAACAAGGAAAACCGAGTCAACCGAGAAATGTCACCGTTTCTAATGGTGTATAATAGTCTAATGATCCATAATAGTTACACAATACCAAAGAATTAGATTGAAAAATTGTCGGACGAAAAGTATAAATTTATCAATCGTACGGAGGTATTCGTGTTTCACGTACGATTCCGACAATAAACGATTGAACTTCCGAGATAAATTGGTTAAAATTAAACTCTGACAGAAACTAACAAAGGAGAAGGACGGACAGAGAGGAAGGGTGACGAGAACGGTTGTAGATACGGGGATGAAGCGTAGAATGGGGAATGGGCAAACAGAGCGCAATTAACGTGCGACTATTAAATATGTACGCGAGTTACTGCGTCACGATACGTGTGTGCAGGCCAGCGCAAATGCATTGGCTATCGAACGCTCGCACGGCACTACCGATCTCTTCTTGCATCCTGTTGGCACAGCCGCTTGATTAGCTCCGCCATATTTACATATCATTAGCCGAGTGTTTGTCCGAGTCGGGAGTTCCCCTTCTGCATCACCGTTGTCCGTCAATATACGAAATAAAAGTTATTGCGCCGCATAAAATACCGTGCCTATAAAAATCGCATTTGTAAAAGCCGTTTTCGCATATGAATTTCGGATATGAATTTTCAATACGTCCTACTTTGCGAGAGCCAAAATTCGAAAATGTAATTCGTGCGAGTAAAGATTTGCATTCTAGAATTTTTATTATATTTCAGTTTCACTTTATTCATAAAAATACGAATTTCGATTTTAATCTCGTTGCCTACATTGCATAACAATTTCCTTTTTCTTTGTTTTTTCTTTTTTTTTTGTCGTTCTATACACTACTTAAATGTATTGGACAAGCTGGCGGTAAGTGCCGCAAAAAGGAGAATGAAAATGGAATAAATAGATCAACGAACGTGACTGCGTAATGTCCAATCGCATAATTTTCAATCGGACAAATTATCTCAACGATAATATAATGATTAATTCACCGCTATATAAATTGCAACATCTGACACAATCTAATTATTGAAAAACATCCTTCGCGGATTGAAATATACTAAATATATTATACTGGTTTATCGAAGAAAATGCTTAAGAATTTAATAAATGATTAAATAAAAATAATAGTAACCTTTAGTTTCGTCGAGGCATTTACTTCGATGTAAGGCATTAAAAAATGAAAAAAAACTCAGTTCCTTTTTTCACACTTCATTCGCAGGAAACTTCTGAAAATTAAGGTAGCAAGTTGCTTAATGTTTAATAACGTTTTATCTACTTAACGTACACGCAACCTTAACGTCTAGGTTTTCGATTACGGTAACGCGTTTTGATTATCTTTTCTTTCTTTCTGTTCTTCTTCTTAATTTCAATATGGCGACATTCAAATCAGTCTACTAAGTCGTACACGTTTCTCGAGCTTATCCATAAGAAATTATTGTAAAAAGTATCGTTTTTAAATTACTATTAAGGCAGTATGGTAATATGACTCGACTTACGTACATAGGCTTATTTTTAAGCCCTCCATAAATCGCCCAGTATCTGTCAGATATGTGCGTGTTTCCTACTCATCGAGATTGAAAATATCAATGAAACGGCATTTAAAGCCTTTTTTTAAAACTTAGTATAAATAATTTCACTATCCATAAAAAGTCATAATTTTTCATTATCCTTCTGAATTAACGTTCTAATCATACAATTGTGTACAAATTACACAAAAGATCCAAGATTTCCATTACCTTTTTGTCAAATTGTATCATTGAATTGGAAGAAATTCAAACTTGGTCCTCGCACATTGTTAATCATTACGGAAAGTTCAAGACAAGAAAATCTAATGAATCAACAACAATCAATAAATTAAAAAAAATGGCTAACAAAATTAATAGAAGAATAATTGTAAGACAATGTATCTGCATAAAGTGAAACGTAATGGTTTAGTTATCATCATTATCCTCATGTTACAAACGAAACACGAACGACAGCAATGTTTCTGAAGGCAGTATATAAAGTAGGAACTGCCTAAGAAATTCAGTAACGGTCACGAGTAATGTAACCCATCCTAAACATGTCCGGAACAGATTTGCGAATTTACCTCAAAAGTATTTCCTCCTCAAATGTAACGTAGGTCATATGGAAAAAAAACTAAATATTTAAGAAATAATCAACTTCATCGACAAAAGGAAAGAATTTCAGCAATGAGCATAATCAATGCGTTAATAACGCATTCTAATCTAACTCTAGCAAGTGGCAGCATTGCTACATCCTGTCTCCAGCATAGCCGATTCAAATTGCTCGAGCACTTGCATACTCTCAGAGGATACAGCATTAATGCCCAGACGTTCTTTGTATTCGTTTCCAGATAATCGTCGTCGAGAATACTTAACAGAGTCGTTCATCGCTTGTTCCGGAGTATCGCTGTCACTCGTACTGGTAGTGCTGTTGGTGCTGGTTGAACACCTGCCACTAGATAAGTCTTGTCTCTCGGAATCAGCCTTATCATCAGGAACTGAGACCTCGTTACGAAGCTCCAAAAAATTGTTTTGTGCGTTACAAATAGATACTGAATCTTGCCGATCCTTCCGATTCTCAGATACAATTTCCGTCAGAGATCTGATGCGCGTGTAAGTCACATCATTTTGAAACGCATCAGTTAATGCGTCCTCATCGTCATCAGGTTCGCATTCAACTCTAACGTACGTATTGCCGCGTTTGCGTCCGTAGGTGATAAAATTGTTCGATTTCGCCGAATTCGAAGCAGAGTCTTGCGATTCAACGTTCTTGATCGTATTATCATTCTTTTGTCCTTTCTTCATTAAGATCTTGCTCGAGAGCCAATTGGTCTGTTTGACCTCTCGATCAACGAAATCATTTTCAACGAAGTTGTTGCTGGATGACGAGGATGCCTTGGTGGCACATCTGTCATTATTCGTTTCTTCGTTCGCGACTTCGGTAACTTCAACTTCATTCCTTTCGGAAGTAGTACCGCTTTTGTATACTAGCTTTGCTCTAGATGGCGCTGGTATATGCGCTTCTTCCAATTTCACGTGCTCGAAGAATTTTGTGAGGGCACCACGCTGTAATTGGACTGGCTCATTTCGTTCGCCTGATTCCAGTTGGTAGCTTTGATGATACAACTGTTGCCGACCGATTGAGAGATCTTTGTTAGCTGCGCTGATGTCTCGTGATTCTCGAGAATTATCGGTGAGGATATAGGACTTGTTATGGCCTGAGAACAGTGAGTGGAGAAGACCACCGGTTCTTGGCCTGTACTTTGCACGACTACTGAACAGGGTTGTTTCCTCTGGCTCGGTTGATTTTGTAATTTGTAACTGCTTATCGGATTCTGTACTATCGCAGGAAGGTAGCAAGATTTCTGTGGCCCTGGTGGTTCGCAGCGGATTGAAACCGAACCTTCTTTGCTGTCTGGTCTTAGGCTTTCTTCCATTGAGAGTTGTTCGTTCCAATTGGTATTTTGCCGTGATGGAGAGATTCTCGGTGTCGATGATACGGTTGAGGGCGGGTACTGCGCGGTTTGTTTGCTTTTTACGGTTACGATTGATGGAGTCAGACAACTGCTTATTAATGAACATAGGGGAGTCGGAGACAGAGATTTCGGTCTGAACGCGAGAGTTGTAGCCTGATGTGGTTGGCAGTTTATAGTTGAGCACTGTGGTGTGGTTCTGGTCTTCGGAAGACTGGCTTGTTCTTCTAGGTGGTTCTGTGATTTTTTTGACGATAAGGTATGATTGATGCTTTTCTGACTGAACACTGGTGACTGGTAACTGATAGGCGTAGGACACTTGTGGTTCTGTGCTGTCGATGTAGGCAAAGCTTGATCGAGGCAGCTGGTTGAGGACAATGGAGGAGTAGGGCACGGTACTTTCTCGATGGTCACTACTGATTGTTGTAGAAGGCCCAACATCCGACTGGTTGACGCTATTGGAGGAGATTGGGATGAGGAAAGTTGAGGAGGGAAGCTGACCGATGCCGATGGAGGAGGAGAATCCCCGCTTTTTCTGAGTTGCATCAATTTTATGAAGTCCACAAGCCGTTTTATAGATCTCTGCGTCTTCTCTTGCTTTCCTAATAATTCCTGGCGCGAGCGTTGCTGTAGCTGTCAAAAGAAAAATTAGACGATTAGCGAACAAACATCACTTTCGTAAAACGATCTGAAAGATATTGGAACTTAAAATACACATCGACTGCTATCTGATAATATCGGGATAGAGATATACATGCTCTCGGAACAAAATTTAACGAATCGATTTGTAATATGTTGTGCTTACATATTTACATACGCTACTTTTCATCATTTCACATTTTATATACGAATCTATCTTCAACGATTGACTATATTCACTAAGACAAAATACGTAAGCAATACACAATTTAAATTTAACAAGTAAAGACAAAAATCGAAATTACTTTTCTTTATAGAACGTTGAAGTTTAAATTGAACGTGAAGGAAGCATCGTGCATTACGTACTTTCACGAATTAACGAATAAAATTATTACTGTAGACAGATAATGTATTTAGTGAACTGTAACGAATAAGCTATTTTTAGAAAGGCTTTGATCTATTTCTGTACGTACATATATGAGTCCACAGTAATAACAATAAAAAAATTGCAACGTTAGACGAATCGATCTTTTTATAAAGCAAAAAAATCGAGTCATCTTTAGAAAATAATATTCAAAATGAAGAAAAACGTAGAGATCTTGCAGGTTCTCACTGATGAAAAAACAAAAGATGGAAAATATTTGCATATAATTTCATTAACTGAACGGCATTCCAAATGAAAAAAAATTTGTGATTTTCTTTCTACGCAGGCCACAGGACGAACCTGAAGGGACTGGCCGAGTAGTTGTGAGCGTTTTTCCAACTCGTAAACCTGCAATCTCAGATCCGAGTTTCGCTTGCGCAGCTCATATCTTTCTCTCTCTTTCTCCTCTGCAAGATATTTCGCGTTCAATACACGTTGCTTTTTTGTGCCCTATTACTGACGATCGACCAAAAAGTTCTTCTTAATTGCAAATTCTTCTGCTGTATTTGAGAAGCCGGTTTCACTCGCGACACTTCTTCCGGCAGGCTGCTCTCTCGTTTATTCTCTCTGTGTGCTTACGCTCAATAAAGTCTGCGGCAACGCTGCGATACCTCGTTGCACGTTAAATCTAGAAATTGTGGACCCATGTTACACAATTTCCTGCTTTTCTCTCTCATACAACTTGTTTGCATTATCTATAAGTACTTTTTTCCATTCATATTACGCGTGAAACTCTTACACCACGTACATATGTACTTCTGATTACCGAGTATAACTAAAAATGCCGCTTTATTTTCATCTGTATTTCTTTTTTTTTTTTTTTCTTTTCTCTGTTTTTAGTTGTTAAAACTACATCGCTCTACATCAAATAATTTCGGACGGTGCCGCCGCGAAATGAGATAAGCGTGCCACGAACATTCATAAAAGCTAGTGTCTGCAGGAAACAAGAACTTTTTTGTCAATCACACGATCAACGTTACTACGAATAAAAATCTTCTGAAAAACCAAGGACGATTTACCGAATTCCTCGTCCTTTTTAAAAGATGGGCATCCTTTGTCTTCCTCCCCCTCATCACCGTCTTCAATTTCATCCTCGTCTATCACCGCACATTTGGGGCATATTCTTGGTGGAGCTGGTGATACGGAGTGGCAAGAAACATGGTAATTTGATGCACAACTTTCACATACTGTTAACGTTCCTGTTAGAACATAAAATTACAATAAATATTTGAAAAGGCTTACAAATAATAATAGTAATACAAAGCAAGTTTTATTACATACCTGGATTTCTACAACTTATACAGACTGCTGAATCACTACTAATCCTCTCGATGGTGAGGCTGGAAGGTAAGCCAGGTATATGAACGGCCTTGTTGCCAACCGAATGAATAGACTTTACAGTAGGTACAGGCATCTGAATTTGACTAGGTCCGTTTTCGAGTTTATTTTTATTGGGGAAAACTTTGCTTTCAGTTACACTCCGAAGTATGTTCGGTCGTGTACTGGACTTTTGAACCGGAATCAAAGATTTCATCACTGTCCTCGACGTTGGTGGTGACGTAGATTTTGTTGGTGGCACAGCTTTAACAGGAGGTGGCGATGGGCCATTCATACGAGCAGTCGTTTGACGAGTTTGCGGAACATTTCCAGATTGCAGGTACGAGTGTCGTTTTCGTTTCTAGAATAAATATATCTGACGTTAGAACACGGCAAGGAGCTCAATACCATAATTAAAAATTGCCTCACATTTACCGTTGGCACTTCAAGATTGGAATAAACAAATTGCGGATTAGCAGTACTTCGACGTTTTCTTTCAGCCCTCTTGTTTTGCAATTCGGCGCATGTTTTGGTGGTAATGAGACCAAGATTGTTTAAGAAATTAACTTTTTCAGTCGACTCAACTTTACACGCCTCTGGCTCTTCCTTCTCGGATTTCTCGTTGGAGTTCTCATCCATGGAAACTTCGATAACATCATCCTCACCGGAAATCGTTTCCACTGAACTGGGCCGTTCCCTAAGAACAACGAACCCGATAAAAGATTTTATACAAATGACACTGGCATTATCAACTCTTACAAATTGTCCGAGACTACTCGACAATTACTCGACAAAACTCACTTGGTAGGTGCGGGATTTCGCGTAGGCAAAAGAATATCTCCGTTTCTAACGATCTCCTCGTAGTCCTCTTTCGAACTCTTCGTGGTGAAGTCATTGCTGCCGGTCTTATGTTTTGTTTCATTGTTATTCGTAATATGATTATTGTTGTTCAAGCCAAGAAGCGACGCGATGGAAACTTTTGCCCCGTTCGCATTCTCCGCTTTGAATGTTTCGACCTCTTTGCGCAGCCGCTGGACAACTTGCTTCTGCGTATTAAGATTGAAAACTATGAGCACGAGAGCTTCGGTCAATGATGATCGTAGAAAACTTTCTTGGCAGACTGTGTATTGCAGATCGTTTAAATATGAATGCATATCGTTAAGTTGGAACCAAATATATTCTATACCGAGCACGTGTCTCTTTCATGTGTCAGAAAAATATCATTGAATATCAAAAGCAATATAAATGCGAATAATAATTGCTGGTAAATGTACGAAAAAGCACGAATGTATCATTTATCATTACGTTGATTAACGTCGCCAGAAAATAAAAAGTTTGCGCGTTCATATAATTTCTAACTATTTACTGACGAAGAATTTGTAAAACAAAATAACAAATAATGAAAAAGAAAAAGACATGATATTGCATATGCATGATTTTACATAGAATACATCGATCGATTTAATTTCAAATTTGAATTTCACGCATGACAATGTCCAATTGTTAAAAAAAATAAAAAATAAAAAAAAAAGTAAAAAGTATAGAGAATAAAAACTACCCCTCTCGAACGTGAAAGAATCTGGATACTTTGTAAGTAACGTGTTTCATAATCTTTTAAGATTGATCGGATGGCTTCCCTCCGTGTGCAACATAGAGACACCGTCTCGGCGAGGTGGCGAGCAACTTGCAGAAGTTTTCAGAAGTAAAACGTTTAACTTGGAATACAATGAACAACAGTCGGAGAGCAAACCCGGTGAAATGAGGGTGGAAAGCGACAGAAAAACCGGAGCAGACGATGTGCCAAGGTGGAGACCGAAAAGGAGCAGAAAAAGAGGAGAGAAGAAAGGGAAAAAACGCGGAGATTTCGTAAAGAGCTGAAAACGTTTCTGCGGGACATTTTATTGATTGAGCCCCTCCGCCTCTGCCCGGCCCCTACCCTGCTTCCTTTTCACCCAAGTCCCATTCGCTCTCTCTCTCTCTCTCTCTCTCTCTCGCTCTCTCGCTCTGTCCAACATCTCTGTTCATCTCATACTCCCCGGTACACCCTCCACTCACCCCCCCTCAACATGTATCTGTATATACGTTCCTCTCTTTCGCTCCCAAGTTACTCCATCTTTATCCATTTCTATCCGTTTATGTATCTCCTTTGCTCCGACAGCAATCTACCTGGATCGGTCGTTTATTGCCAACATGGGAAAAGAAGAAAAATGGCAGCCAGAGGAGCCGCTGGAAGGAGGAGGCTGCGGGAGGGACACAAGAGTATAAAGGGGAGAGAAAGAGGTGCATTCGCGTCGACGGGATTGCCGCGAAAATGTTTAGAAAAGGATGCTGGACGATAGCAAAGCGCATCCACCAGAGCCTCTTTGGGCAACACTAGCTCCGTTATCGATTCTTCGCGTCGATTCGCGAATCCCAAAAAGAAACACCAAGTGATTCCTACAATTTAACGCGACCGCGCGCTCACGTTCCACCGGTATCTTTCGAGAGAATGGATATGTTTCTCGCTGTTTCTCGAAAATCCGATTCTCCGCCAGCGTTTCTTCTTCCATTAATTTAAGCGGCACGTTGTACAACTTTCCCCCCTTCTCCCGTTGATAAGCTTTCAATGCTATAATTTCGTTAGCGTTCAGAATGTTCGTCGGAAGTTTTTTCTCGATCAGGAAATTATTAGTGGATGCGTTACACGCAGTTTACACCTGTGGTAAACGTAACAAATGCAGCGACGCGGTCGAATAAGTTTGCGAAAGAGCAGAAAAGAAGGAGGATGTATATCGTGGCTAAGCAAGGGGAAAGAGCATGTCTGTTCGCCTCTATCTTCGATACGATCGACAAAATTTGGAAAGGTGGTCTGTAAACTCGCTCAACGAGTTCGCTATTTAATTATAACTGTGCATTACTCATTCTAGTGAGCGTCCTATGAAGAAACTGCGAGCCTAGTGCAGGAGGTCGATACACAGACGCTTGGACGTATGGCAAAGTTCGTGACGAATGCAAACGTGACTTATCTCGTTTAAACAGGACAATGATTATAATGTTCTTTTACCAAATATTTAGTTTATATCGGACACTGATAAGTGAGATCACCGAAATAGATAGCGATGCGGTTATTTCGATTGCCTTAAAAATATTCCTCTCGTATGGTGTGTACCTATCGATCGAGTTAAGGGGTGTTTCCTTTATCTCAAACCAAGGACATTCGGTTGCCACAATTTTATAACGTTTCTTATAGATAATTTGTTATCGAATAGAATAATTCGATATGATATCGTTTCTATTTGCACATAATGGACAGGCATAAATATGAAACGTCCACGAGCAAACTTGTCCTGGATCATCGCGAAAGAGTGAAGCTTGAGGAAATCGATTCTCAACTTACCTGGCACCTTCCCAAAGATACGATGTGCAAGTGAATCTTTTGTATCTGACCAAGGATATCTGTATTCTGTAAAATGACAGAGAAAACGTTCTTAATTAGATGTACGATATATTTTTTATATTAATAGAGTGCAACATGCAAGCACGTGTATTTTATGAACGATGCGCAGAATAAACAACAAAAGAACGAAAGAAATCTACTTTCAAGTGCAAGATCTTCTGCAATCGATCACACGATTACAATTATTATGATATAATTGGTCGTCGGTGGAAACCGAGTAACTTGAACACGTAACCAACGCAACGACGTTCGTAACTTAATTACACTTCGTTTAGTATGATAGAAAAGAACGCAATTCGAAAAGGATGGAACATTTCACGTTACAGTTTTATGAAAGTCAATGTGAGAACGATCGTAATGCATAATGGAAGCGAGTTAATAATTTCGTTTCACAACTAACGATTATTGCGTTACACGCAAGTTGAAAGAAAACTTTCTCCGGTAAAATGTCGATACGTTGAATGGCAACGTTTGCAAGACACAAACGATTTAACATCTACTAAATACAGCAAATCAATTGTAACGCCAAAAATAACCAGGAGCGGGGACTTGGTTTTCCGGCAAGTCTGGTACGAGAGTGCCACCGTTATTACGATCCCTCCGCGACACTTGTACGTATGATTACGCATTTACGAAAATCGAATCGATTTTGCAAAGTATTGGCTAAAGTAAGCGACTTACGTTTGGATCATCCTTCAATTTGCCCACACAGATCTGCAATTTGAAAAGAAAATTTCAGGATTAGTTTCTCATTTCGAAGATGATTCAAATGTTCGATTCAGAGCATCCTCGCTTATATACGTGCGACCGTGGCGTCTCCTCTCCGATGCAATGACGCAATTACCGTAATATTGTGTACCGATTGTATTGGTTAAATCAAACGTTTTTACGTTTCTTCGCGGTTGGGAAATAATTTTACAAAGACTTGGTTATATAGGATTCAATGTGTCGAAATAAATCATATTGACCACCAATAGAAATGAAGTACATTATGTATACGCTTATTTATATATCAATATAATATTAAAATAAACGCACAATGCAGTATATCAGTTTTTTCCCCGTATTACGCGTATGCGGCTTTTTGGAATATAAAAGACGGTTTTTTAAAATATATAAAATTCACAGACAGTAATCGCTACGCACCTGTTTCTCAACAATCGACGTGTAACTGAAATACCTATCAGGCGAGAACAGGTTTGTCCTATCCGGTTCGCAAACAAACCGAATGCGAATATTGATCCAATTCAATCTAATTGATAAATTTTTGATTCTGCGACTCAACGATTAACCAATTAATTAGGCATCCAAAACGTTTTTTTTCTTTTCTCCAATAAGAAAGAAATTCTTCAAAGAAATTCTCCAATATGTATATACAGTTCGACTATATCGAAAAACGAATTCATATCAAGGAGATTAACGTCGATGGAAATCGATATTCGAGATGTATCGATTAAATGTATTATATTAATAATATTTCAAACTATTGCCCAAACAAAAATAGTCGGTTTTGAAGAATTAGACAGTACAAGGTCGACAGAACAGAGCAGAATACAGATCGTGCTCCAGCAAATTTTTACAGCTTTAATATTACCTAGTGTTAATACTTGTTAACAAAAGTTTACTGTAAATAGACAAAACAAAAATACACGTTATGTACGATTGGAAAATATTGGGTTTACAATGCTTCAACATGTACATCTTAGCTTATCGATAGAATACCTCGACTCTCGAGCGTTAAAACAAACTTTTAAATAAAGGTTGACGTTAGAATATTGATAAGAGCCATTAGTAAATACATCCGTTCAAATAAATTTTCGTTAGTTTACTCCGTCAGACGTTAACAAAAATTTAAAACAATTCGGTGATATTAACAAGAATCGGTAGTATTAACAAGAATAAAAAGAAAAATAGAATAGGGCTATTAAGAAGGTAGAGCTAATTAAATATAGTAAAAGTGTCGTGTTTTTCATAATAAAAGTGCAAGACACACAGCATTAAAGTTTATAGCAGTGATTTAAAAAAAAGGAAGGAACGAACTAGGTAAAGACTAAAGTAAGCAAGAAAAAGGGAAAGAAAGAGAGAAAGAGGGAATACAGAACTATAGAAGTTAGAGTAAACGAGAGAAAAAGAGAGGGAAATCTACCGAACAAGTGAGTAACTGAATGAACGAGCGAGAGAGACAAACACAGAAAGAGGGAGAAAGAAAGAAAGAGGGGGAGGGAGTGGGGGAGAGAGAGAGAGAGAGAGAGAGAGAGAGAGAGAGAGAGAGAGAGAGAGAATGTTGGTTCTCAAAGTCATGCGACGCATCGGTCGAAGCACTATAACCAACAAAGGTTAAGGTCTGACTACTCGTTCACCTTCGGATTTATGCGATTCGTAAAAAAAAATGATCATTGCATGATGCAAAACTTGTAATATGATTAAAAACAAGCAAAAGTTCCCTCGGAACTTGTTACGCTTCTTTCACTTTCGATAACGCGCAACGTAATCGAAGAGGAACACAGTTTACAAACGTCCGATACAAGTGAAAGGGATACTTTTATAAAATAGATCGAAAGGAGGTGTATGCCATATTAGTGACTCAGTTTCTGTATAAACCGGACATCTTTGATCCAGATGATTTCGTGAAATTTCGGAGAATTTACATTGAAATAACAAGTTTCATAAATATAGTATAGGTGTGCATTTGTGCACGCGCGCGCGTGTCTGATGCGTACATGCGTTTGTGTACGCATTGTGCGTGGGAATGTCGAGGAAACTGAGTCATAAAAAGAATTTGTCAAAAAACTTGAACGCGCAGTATAATTTCCATTTATTTTACGATAATACAACAAACTACCTTCAGAGGACACGCTGAAACTCTTCAGAAACTATTTTACTTCTCGAATCTCGATTATTTATCGAAAGTGCTATTTCTGAATCGATTTCTGAATCGACGGGGAATAACGTGTTGAAAAGAAATAAGAAGCAATCGGCCAAAGCAAGAACTATTCGTTAACTTACTCGCTCACACGTTCGTTCGGCTTCGTACTCTCAATCTTTAAATCGTTATCGACATACATGCATAGCCGCGGTACTCACCTGATGATCGCGTATGGCATTTTTCAGTTTAGTTTGCACAGTGAGTATTTCTTCTTGCAAACTCTTCGATATCTCCATATTTTTCTATTGAGATTAGTCGTTTTTCCTCCCTGTTCAAAAATCCAGCCGATTTTAGCGAGAGAAGAGGAGGACGGGAAACCCCTCCTCCCTCTCACTCTCACTCTCCCACCAAATTGACGAGAGGCAGCGGTATACGCTCTGATCAACCGCACGCACGGCGCGCACCAGCCACCAACTCTTCGTGCCACCGCAACGACACTTGATCGTTTTAACTTAAGAAAACCGAACAGGTAAAAATGTCACAGATACATTTTATCAGTTCGTTACGTACGTACATATGCACACCCTTATTTCACGACACCGATCAGGTGAAACAACGTCGCGAAACCACGCACCAAAGTGAATTGTTCGCTCATCAACGAGCGTCTGTGCTGCCACCAGCACTGTTGCCTCCGTACGCGGACGTGCCAAGTTGCTCGAGATCCCCTGACACCCCTTACCCTCGATCCTTCACTCTTTCTCTTTCCCTCTTTCTTCCTTCCTCTCGCTGCGTTGTATGCCCAGGGATCCGATGCGCTCCTTGAAAGAAAGTTTTCGCGCCAAGCTTATAACCGGTACATGTGCCACGTGAAACAGCCTATCGCTTTACATTACAATTTTTCTATACGCGTTGTTCGCGTATCTTGTACAACCACTATGAACTACGCTTAGAAATTCACGAAAACACAGGATGTTCAAAGAAAACATTTCCTTGAAGTAGATCTTTTACGATAGTGAACGTTGGTAATGCCGACGATAGTGGCGCCACATATTTGCGATTACGAAACGAAACGTTGTTCGTGATAGGAGACAAGCTCGTTCTATAATACTCGAAGATATATTTCAGAATTTTCACATTTAATGACGTGTCTCAGCATGGCTGCTCTCATTAAGCATATGAAGTTAAATTAGCATCCATACTGACTCTTGCTTAATTAGTTCCTAGATATACGAACTTGCAATAATGAAAATTTTATGTAGAGTGCGCTAAATTATTACTATTCTATATTATTTTTATATTTATGACTATTCTATATTTATTTTTATATTTATGACGATATAAAATAATTGCATTGTATTTTGTATGTCAGAAAACATAAGAAATACACTTGGAATGTTTAAGACAATTGTAATATAGTTGTTCAATATTTGACATCGTAGTGAAAAAAAAATATATATATGCATGTATGATGTATGTATGTATGTATATATACATATACGTATGTATATATATATATATATATATAATATATGTATGTATATATGAAAAAGTACGTTATGCAGTGTTCATTTTTTTTTATAAAATACAATGCGTCAGAACATTATAAATTATTAATTTTTATTCTATGAAAATACATTGAAGTTAATCAAAAGTTTATTATGTAAATTAAATAAAAAAAAGGAAAATATCTGGAAAAATATAAAGTTTAAATCGATGATTTGCACGTGACAATAATCACGTGATCACACATTACATACCTATCTTATAGGCTAGTTTAATACATACAGAGTACAATATCTTCATCCCTCACATGATAAAAATTTAATTATGATTATATATTAATGTTTATCGACCTCGAATCTAGAAGCTTTTTGACTATTTTGAGATCTTATAAAACGAAACACCGAGAAATAAACATGATATTATGGTAAAAATATTATGGTACACATTGATAATTCCACTACATTTTCAGATATATCATAGTTTCAGACTCTTTTCTCTTAATCTATACATAATATGTATATATAAATAATTTGAAACTATATATATGTTCAATACACATCAATGTAAATTACCAAAATATATAAATTAGTTTTTTTATATGCTTTAACTCACTTCACTGTATTTTCATATTTATTTCCGTAAATATAAATATAGAAAAGTAATAACTTTAAGCTAAATATTTATAAAAATCATTATGTTTAAATTATAGAAATAGTCTACAAGTTTATAATACTTATTGTGTTTAAAATTACTTTAAAAACGAGTTGTTACCTTAATGCTGTACTTAGAATTTGAAATAAGTTTACATCACATACACATTACGTAAAATAGAACTAAAATATTATAATTTGTCGTTTAACCTTTTAAGATTTAGTTTGTTCCTTGGCTATATAGCACGATTGTGATTGAAGAAAAGCGCATGCGCAAAGCTGAAAATTGTGTTTAGGATTAAACTTTCTTCACGTTCTTATGTATATTAAGTACGTACTGTAATGTAAGCATAATAAATTAATTTAAATTAAATCTTCTATACTTGCATGTATTTTGATAAATATTATAATATAATTTAATTTATTTCTGAGTTACATTAAAAAATCGATATCTTTTAGTTTGGTAAATTGTAAGGTTATATTAGAAGTTTTTCTTTTATATACATATTTAGAAATGAATATCTCATTATTTCATGAATATTTCTTTAAAATTAAAGACATTGTATTATGATTATTTAATACAATAAATTTTTCTATACTTTAAACTTTTTAAAAATAATTATTATGTATGTAAATAATTACAGTATATGTAAATGTAATATATAAAATTTTCTTATATGTTTATAAATAACCTTACAATAGTTATCAAATATATATTACTATTATTACATATATTATTAGTAAAGAAATTTTAATTACTTCAGTGTTCATAAGAAAAAAAAATACTGAGTATTTGTAGAATATGTTTACAGAAATGGCTGGTAAGAGGCCTGCATCTACAGACCTAAATCATGATAATTGGGATGATGAAGAAAGACCTGAAGAAGCAGGAACATTTAAGAAAGCTACTGATGATGTAATGGAAAAACGTATTGTTAAAAAAGCTAAAAGACGTTTACAAAATTCAGATGTAAATAACTTTTACCTTTCATATTTTTTACCTTATAGTATATATATATTTTTTAAATATTTTTCAGGATACTACCAGAAGTGCATTTGGTACATTTAGAGGTTTTAAAACAACTTCGACTCATGCTTCACCCTTTAGTTTTTTAGCTAGTGGTAATACTAGCACTAGTACTAATGAAGTTTTTTCTAAAACAACTACGAATGTAAACAAGTCTTCTACAAATAACGAAACAATAAAAACTAATGAAAATGGAACTAATAAAAAGGAAAATACAGAAATACAAACCTCGTCAACTATATCTACTAGTAAAAATAGCAATTCTGATCAAGAAGAACAAAATATATTTAAAAAATCTGATTACTTTGCTAAATTAAAAGGATTAAATGAAAGTGTAGCACAGTGGATTAAAACTCATGTTGATGCAAACCCATTTTGCATTTTGACACCAATTTTTAAAGATTATGAAAAGTATCTTAAAGAAATTGAAACCAAACATGGAAGTGAGATTGAAAAACCAGTACAAACACAGTCTAGCGATAATAAAGAAACTATTAATACAGATAAAAAGAACGAAAGTTCTCCATTTGGTGGAACTAGCGCAAAATCACCTTTTGCTTCTACAGAATGGAAACCTGAAAAATCAATTTTTGGTAATATTAGTGCAGGTTCTAAATCTATATTTGGAAAATCAGAAAATAGTGTAGATACTGGTAAATCCATTTTTAGTAGTTTAGATCAAAGTTCAGATTCACATAAATCTGTTTTTGGTAATATTGATCAGAAATCTAGTAGTAAAAGTATATTTGGGAGTGCAAATCCTGAAAAGAATCCATTTTTGAGTAAACCATCTACTACACCTGATAAATTAGATGAGCAAGAAACTAAATCAGATGTGAAATCTACTATTACTACTACTAATACTACTACTAGCAGTTCTTTTGTTACATCAAATACAACTACCTTCTGTTTTGGTCAAAGTTCTGCCACCAATAATACATCAACTGGTTTTAGTTTTGGAAGGTAATTTATTTAAAATGTTCAGTATAATATAAATATTTTAATAATATTGTAATTTTGCAGTACTAAACCATTTACATTTGGAGCTCAAGTGGTTCAACCACAGGAACCTGAGGATGAAGGAAAAGATGATGAAGATGATGAACCACCAAAAGTAGATTTCAAACCAGTAACGGAAGAAGGCGCTATATATGAACAAAGGTGCATCCAACATTTCTCACTAACCGACATTAAAAAATGAAAGGCATGTATTGATTTTAAATTGAGTATGAATATATCCTATACTTTTTACAGGTGTAAAGTTTTTATTAAAAATGATAGTAGTTTTACTGCTCGAGGTGTAGGAACACTATTCCTAAAACCAACTCCAAATGAAAAAACACAATTATTAGTACGAGCAGAAACTTCTTTGGGGAATTTATTGCTCAATACTTTATTAACCGAAAGTATTCCAATGAAACGTATGAACAAAAATACAATAATGCTAGTTTGTTTACCGATGCCTGACTCTACACCACCTCCAGTACCAATTTTATTGAGAGTAAAAACAGATCAAGACGCTGATGCATTATTGGAAGCACTCAATAAACATAAAAAATAAGAAAAATAGGAATTTTAAATAATATGAAATACAACAAAAAAAGAAATATAATAAAATCGTGTTGAATAATAATTGATAAATTTTTGAAAACGAAAATACAGTTTTGTTGTTATACATGTTCACTGTAATATTTTGACCTGATTCGATATTTAATATAATGTAAAATAGTATAAGTCATACATATTTTTTATTATATGAATGATACGTTCTGGTATCAGTAATAAAAATAATATAAGGACTGTAATTGAAACAAATAAATATTAATCAGATTTAGGATATTTGAAGTTCATACACGTTATTTGGTATTTGCATAGTGCTTTCGCATTAACATAAATATCTAATTAAGTGTATATATTCAAATTCATTTTTTCTTTGTAAAATTTCAATGTTATAAATATAAATAACAGTAACTCTTTAAATTAAACCTAATTGTTTTCATATTATTATTTTCTTATTTAAAATAATTTTTCCATTTTATACAGAATTGTTTTTGTCAAATGTATTGTACATACTTTTCCAATATATGATTTCCAATAAAATTCATGTAAATAGAATCTAAACATATATCATATATTTTGTATCTTATTTTGAAATATAAAATATCTTACACTTCCTATATTTATAATTTATTACATTAAATGATCAATATCCTTTGTTAATTTTTTTTTACTAAAGTTTATAAGAGAAGATATAAAAAAAATTGCAATATATTTTGAACAATCAAAAGAATTATTCATATTTGAATTATTTATATAATTGGATCAAATTTGTATTTACTTTATTAAAAATATATGTATGAGAAATAAGTACAACATTTATATAAATTTATTTATGATGACAATAGAATATTTGGAATCAGACAAATTTTTATAACCTACGTTCTTAATTTAGTGTGTTGGTAACAATTTTAGAAACAGAACCATTAAGTGGATTTACAATATTTTAAGTAAATTATCACATATTATATTAATTATTTGATGATTTTTCAAAATAAGACATTGGTATAAATAAAAAATTGTTAGCTAGTGTGAATAAAATAAATGTAAAAATTTTATATTTTATATCATTTATAGTGTATTTACAATTGGTTCTGCCATATTCGTGCATATACCTAATGTACATTTATCGAAAATTATTTTTCAAAATACTACTGTATTAATTATATATTAATTTTAGCAATTATTTATAAGCAGAAAATACTAAATTCCTTTTTACAAAATAAAAAATTTTTTTCGCTGGCATAAATTTCTATATAAAGTTAATGAAAATTGCCATTGCAAAATGCACGCTTTATTTACAATAGCACATTAATTTATTTTCGATTTAATAATTTATAGATATTTAATTACTTATTGTGTAGAAATCGTAAAGTTGACATGTAAATCTTTTAAACATGAACATTTTTAAATGTTTAATGCAATTAACAGCACAGCACATTATTCTAAAAATCATTTATAGAATGTTACTTAAAAAACAATAGTTATATATATTCTAATAAGATAAGGTACTCTTTAATGATGATATGCCCTATACAAAAAGATAATAAAATAAAGTTGGATTTTTTCTTATAAAATAGTGTAATATTATAGTTTATATCTATTTTAATATTGTACATTTCTCTGAAAGTATTAGTGAAAATGACTTTCATATTTGCTAAGCTCTTTGAGCCATAAATGGCGTTAAAGCACCTCTTTGTCCCAGACCTAATTGTATGTGTTGCATATGTATTTCTACACAATTTTGGAAAACTTGTTGATTTTGTGGACTTAATTTCGCACGTATTTGTTCCATTGTGCCTTGTAACACTTTTAATTCATATGCATTGCGATCTGAATCAGATAAACTCTATAACATAAAGAAAATTGTGTAACAACAAAACGATATTCATATTAAAATATTTTAAATTACCTTTACTTGAAGCATAAGAGCTGTTAAATCTGTTACTAATTGAGACATCTTTCCAGGTTCTCTATCATTGACACTATTATGTCTCGCAATCATATCTGCAGCTTCCTGTCTACATTTTTCACGTAGATGAGAAGGAGCCAACATAGCTGCCACACTAGGCTCTGGAGCCATTTCTTGACAAAGTTCTTGAACGTCATTAAGAAAATCTTGTAAAGCGGTATTCATCTTTTCCAACTCAACCACGATACTGAAGTTATAAATATTAATAAAAAAAAAAGAAAAGCATGAAATGTAAAATATGACAATAATATATTCATCATTTACCCTGCATATCTTCTTTCAAAGTCTGGTGGAAGTGGTTCTCCAAAAGAACGTCTTTTTTCTGCTTCGCTGTTCATTTCTTTCAATTTCTTAATTTTAACTTTTTTAGCAGCCAATATTTTATTTACTTTAACCATAAATTCCAATAATTTCAAAGGATAGCCATTCATTGTTCCACCAATATGAGGCTTTTTTGGTAAAGACAAAGAAGCATTTGATATTAAAGGATCACTGTTTAAACGCGGTGACATTAATTTCATAGCATACGGTGGAGATGGTACATATTGTACATGTCGTGGTCTAAACTTTTGTGCAAACGACGCTACACTTATTGTTTCTGGTGGTTCATTTGACTATAAATAATAAATAAATGTATAACAATAAAATTGCAATGAATTTTTTGTATTCCAAAGTAGTACATATATACGAACCAATACTTCATAATCTGGAACACTATGAGTTCCAAGCCCGGCACGTTCAAATGTAATTCTGTAAGTATTATTACTAGTATCTACAGCATCGATACTTCCAGTAAATAAACCATCTTGTGGTTTTCTCAGTCTTGCTGTAACTTTGGTTCCTATTACTAACTGTAATGGTATTTCTGGTGGTAAATCTTTGAAACTGTTAACATCTGCAGCTTTTCTTTGCTGTAACATTCGAATTTTTTGTCTTTTTCTTTCTAATTCTCGTCTTTCCTCCTCAAAAAATGACTGTGAACATCTTCGTGGTTTACCCATCATTCTTCTTATCTTGCACCATTCAACTCTTGTTAATTTCCGAGTTTTTAATTGTGGAAAAGATTCTTTTAAACAAATCATAAAATCATTGTCCCCTTCAAAAAGAGTCCTGCATAAAATAAATAAAATTTAATCATATTACATTAAACTGTATATATGTATATATGGATTCATTTCTTTTTTCATACATACTTATCAATGTTACTATAAAACCACTCGTAACAAACCCATTTGTGTGCTTTTGGTAATTTCAATAAATTTCTTAATCTCATACCAATCTTTTGTCCAATTTTACGATCCGGAGATGAAGGTTGCATTGGTTTATCAGGTTCTTTCTCTTGTTTAATAGGAGTCAATGTAGACGATATGGGTTGGCTTAATATATTATTTTTCCTTGGCTCATTAGTTACTCTATTTTGCTTTTTTGCAGGAGATGGTCTAGATATCTTTTTAGGAGAGTGTTTTGTATCTGGATGTGATGGATCCTTTTTGATTCTAATAAGTAAATGTAAATTAATATATACCTCATGTTCGTATATATGTTCGTATATATGCTCATAATGTTAAATATTTACCTATGATGAGGATGGTTAACTAGTATATCATCATAAAATAATTTATTTTTTTTTCTAATTCTTGCTGGCATTCCTCTTCGGTTTAAAACTTGGACTGGTTGGCTAGGAGGATTTGGTTTTGGGGGAGGTTGACTACCTACTCTTTGTAAGCCTAAAGCAGCAGGTCCAAGTTCAGGGATTGGATCGGATTCTTCAGTGTCCATATGTGAATCCGTTGAAGTATTTGAAATTTGTTGATCATCCATATCCATCGTATCATCATCAATCACTTCACTTTTGATCTCATCAACTGATGGATATCCTCCATTTTTTATAGATAATAGTGTTTCAGCAGATTCATCTAGGATGAAACGATTATTTACACATAAAAGAAGAATACTTATATGGTAACAATGTTTTTATAAATAAAGTAGAAATGAAAAATTTTTCTTTTGCTTGTTTTAGATTACGATCTACCTTTCATGATTAGAAAGTATCATCAACAAATTTGATAACTGCACTTATAATTATTATTTATATATAAGAAAAAACAATCAGTCATTATTATAAAAAGAATTTTTTAATAAAATAATATATCATGTTATTTTTAAAAAATTTGAAAATTCTAGTTCATAACATTATACATTGTAAGTTTTTAAAGATTCATAAATTATGAAAAAATTGATGTATAAAATTATGAATAATATTAAATATAATTATTCGTTTATAAATATAAAATGAAGCTTTCTTTGTGTTTTTCTAGGTCTATTAATAAAAATTGTTCAAATTGGGAGTTCAGAAAGAATTACGAAAGTCATTCTGCTCGTAGCTGTCGACATAACCAAACTTATACGTAGTTCCGTAAATACTATGTGTACTTATCGCAATAAAACTAAAGTTATAGAATATGTATTATTACAAAAATAACAAACTATACTGTCAAATATTTGCCCTTGAAGTATCGTTCAATAAATGAAATCTCAAATGATAAAGCTCTTCATTGTCCCGCTTGAATTGTGTATTGGTCATTTTTGAAATTTTAAACCAGACCTTTCTGAGCGCAATTAAAACACCAACTCTAAGACCCTTAACATGTCAGAGGAAGATCTTACATGTTAATAATATAAACTTTAAAACATTTCTTACTCTTGTATAATTACTTTTTGTTTTTAATTAGCCCTTATTATATTAATTTTATCAAGAATAAGTTAACTTTTACTCACTTTCAATCATCTCCGCCATGTTGCTATCAATGATGCATCATGGGTATGTGTTTCCGTCGAGCTCGCCCGCTTCGCGGTGAATTTCGTTAGTGGTTCTTTTCCATCGTTCCAAACGCTGTGATTGGCTAACGAACATCTTTGATTACTGGAACAAACTTTGTGGAATTTTTAAATGTTCTTTAACATTTTGCATAATAAAATGAAAATAAACTCAATAAAATTTATGTAAAATTATTATTAGAATGAAATTATTTATATCTATGTGTATCTATATCACTAAATGTAATTGAGACACGTATACTCTGAACTTAGTTGTTTTACTTTGATATTTTAATATTAATTTTAAGATGATACAAATAAATTTTGTTTGGTTATTAATGATTTCATCAGTTAGTACGGATGATATTATTTCAATCGATCAATCCGTGGCATCTATCAAATACTGTAGGAATAAGGACAGATTAGTAACGTCCGAAGAGAATGATGAATATTTACTTATTAGCGCCGAGATCGATACAACTATTGTGATGGAATGTCGATTTTGGTATAAAATACTTTATTTTATTGATGAGGAAATAAAGATTTTGCTATTATATTTGTTTTGTACGATAGCAACGACAAGGAAGAGAGACAGTCAAAAATTTGGTACTATCAAGATCGATTCAAAGAGACTTCTGAAAAAGAGATTGAATTAGGAATGGATAACAATGTGTCGTTCAATAGGATTTACACGACTTCAGATCTTTCTTTAGTAATTAAAGAAATTGCGGTAACAGACGCTGGTATTTACTTGTGCCATGGTGAGGAAGGGCAGGAGATTGAAAATAAATTCAATTATAGACTTGAACGTAATCAGAATCTCATTATTTAGATACAATTAATTTTCAGACATATTATTAATTAAATAAATTTATTTAATGATAGCGATCTTCAAACAGCACGGAGTCTTGTATACAGAACAGGGAAACATTACTGACTGGGAGAAATATCGTGAAATATATTTAGCGTCAGTTACCACGCGATTTGCTGTAAAATCATCATTAATCTCACTCAAGATTAATATGAAATATTTAATAAATATTTGCCCCTAGTGTTTATATTTATGTAATTTAAATTGGTAAGGTTTCACAAATGTTTGAATTGGCTGAAATTCGAGAAGTTGGAATAACTCTTCATGTTATTTCTGAATGGGCACCTTGGAGCCCATGCGAACATTGTGTACGTAATCGGGGAATCAAGAGGAGTGTTGGAAATTGTCGATTAAAACGGCAAATAAATATGGTAAGAACAACGAATTGCAAGATTAAAAAAGACGATTTATCATATGTATCATATTTTATCGTAGACTATTGCCAACAGAAGCGATTCATCTATAGTTAAGTTTTTCCAAAAATCTCCTTCGTTACCATGCAGGTAAGTAAACTTACTTTCTGCAGCAGAAAACTAAATTTCAAGTATAAACAAATTTTTACTCATAATATCATGGATTTAAGAGCAATTTTACTCGAAGAGCAATTTCCTGCTGTTAGTAGCGCAGTGCGCCATTTGCCGGAATTCATTTTAAAGGAAGTATGTAAAAAATGTCCTCGCGTGAAAAAAATAAAACATCGCAAGTTTAAATACATTAAACGATTCGTACTGGCAGAAGGAGCTTATCTTACAGTCGTTTGTCCAGAGTAATTTAATGTTTGAGCAATTTGAAAAACATTATTTGTAGCAAAATTCGAACATTATAGATCAACTATGGATACCAAAGTGTCATGGAAAAAGGATTTAATTACATTGGAAAGAGGCGTTCGACAATCTTTTCGTAAACTGGATTCAGAAGCTCGTGTGATAGTAGACGCTTTTGGAACACTTTATCTGATAGGTATTTTCAATAGATAAACTGTACACCGTCCACTTTATAGTGTTTCACATTTTTCTATCCACATACTATCAGATGTTTCCACTCGTGAAGAAGGGAATTACACGTGCTACATCAATAATGTTAACATGATGCAAGTAAAAGTAGTAGTTATCCATAAAACTAGGCTGTTAACCCAAGGTAAAATCAAATCTAATCAATTGTACAATACAGTGGAATGATTAACTACAATATCGTCTCCCTTTTATAGAATTTTTACGTCATTTGGGATATCTAGGATTCATATTTCTACTTTGTTCATTTTGCTATTGTAGTGGTCTGGTTTATACGTACAAACAAAGAGATAAATTTGACACAGTTGTTCCAAAAAAAGATACAATTGACAAAGAAGAACAGATGCCATTTATTGATTAAAGTGACCCAAAAAGTGATAGATAAGAAACTGTTGATAACAATTGTGCAAACTGTTTACCGATCGAGTTAATACTCTTTGAGCATAATGAGTTTTCTTGGAGCTTCCTGAACAGACGATGACCTTAAAGGCCTAGCCGAGTGAAAGGAGGCAGTGGAAGGGACAACTGCATGGAGTGCCTGTTCATTTCTCGAAGTTACAGTTTAGTTTCAAAATGGCTGAGTTTGATCGTTCTTATTCTTCTGCGCTGGTTCACGAGTGAGAAAGTCAATTAAAAATAAACGCGTATTCACAAAGAAATTCGCGATACCATGAATTTAAGGATAGAGATTTTCGTATTGTTCGCGATCTTTTGCCTGGTTCTACTTCAGAGCGCAACCGGTGAGTTTCATGCATAGTATAGATAGTATCTATACATACATGTATCTATGCACTATGGACAATGTCATACTTTCACCGCATACCGGATAGCTCATCCTTTTTCTTCCAGTGTGGTGCTTTTCTTGTTTTCTTAATTGACAAACAAATCTATTCATGATCCTCTTCAAAGACGATCCTATTGAAATAAACTTCATCTTGTGGATTGTGTACAAGAATAGAAGTGTTACTTATAGATGCTTCCTTTTAGGACTTCTTCGGAGATGTGTGAACTGTAGATCAAGAGGAGATTTAGGATCTTGTAAAGATCCTTTCACTATGAACTCGACTGCGATCGAAATGGAAAAAGGTGTCGACGCTGTACCCTGTGCATCTGGCTGGTGCGGCAAAATAATTGAACGGCAGGGTTTAAACAACGGTAAGCAGTGGATAGATATGTATTTAGATATATAGGAAATTGTTGTGTAAACGATACTCTTTCGTGCAGAATATGGCACTGCCACGCAAAGGCTTTGTTTCCAACGTGGACCCGACGATGGTGAGGAACGATGCGCGTTTACTGTGTGGAATTACAAAAAGGTATACATGTGCCTTTGTTTCGGGGATTTATGCAACGGAACAACGAAGCTAAGCATTTCCAATGGTTTGATTTTTACAACGCTTTGCATTTTACTCCGGTGGTTCATTTAAAAACATCGGAATTGAATCAGATGTATATTATTGTATAAAAGTTCCTCGTATCTGTATATGACGTGATATCTTCAATTTGCAAGTGTAGCCAGTATTGATTCGTTATTAAGATTAAATCTCTAAAAACATACTTTACTTTATTTATAACTTTGTTTCTTATGTATGATAATCACAAGAAACTGAGGTATACATACATACTTTACATGATAAATCTTCGTGAAACATTGTACGGAGATTAGTAAAATGTTTTAATATATTAATAACGTGCATGATCGTTTGCACCTGTAAGACTGTTAAATACAGACTACGTAAAAAAAAAAAAAAAGGAAATGTAATTATTCTTCTTAGTTTTAGAATTTCCAAATAAAAAGCAGAATTGGTATTTTAAAATGACACTAAATAAAGATGAAGCGTACTTTTCGCTTGATATCAAAACGATTTTATCTTTTTCCTTTTACCAAGATACGATATCCGTCAGCCAATTCGTAAATAACGTTACTGTTAATAAAAGCCTCTATGTTAAGTATCTTTCCAAAACGGCGAGGTCGGCCTTAAACTTTTCAATATGTGATCGTGAAGGCCGTTCCGTCTCCTTTCTTCTTGGTTTCTCAGCAGTGCTCTTTCATGTGGAATATCATTATAAAACAGCTCGCCTTGACTATATAGATATTTTACAGCTAGCATTGCTTCCTCACCAGTCAATAGATACGGATCGTGATATTCTGAAACATCGTTAAATCTAAAACGAATGCCTGCCGCTTTGCTTTTAGGATCAATATCCTTGCATTATATCTTTGCATTCTTTTAGCGTATTCCTGCGTGTCAAATGTATTGCTCACCAAGCCCGTTGGAAAAATCAGGTGTTGTATGCCTTGATTCTTGCGAACTATAACCGAGATCATTGATATCCACTGGTGGAATGAAAACGCCTACCGGCCACAGAGATTCAGCATTTTCCGGTTTTATGTATAATGGTACAATGTTTGCTTTATTACGTAAACGTTGTCCTGTGAACATATATAATTTATTATAGTATATGTTGTATCCTAATTAACGAATATATTCATTTCATTAAATTACTGGATTACGTTATTCTCTTATATAATTATACTTTTTATCAAAGTGGAATATCGTACCAAATTCTTTGGGACTTCCTGTTGTGCTTCTTCTCCCAATCGAGATGTAAGATCTTTGATCTATCGTCCGATCCCCTGATAGATAAGAACTTATATTGTTTGTAATAATGTAAGATTTTTAACAATATGCTACGTAATTTCATTTATGAACTAACCATCTGTCGTAATACCGTGCTCATAAATGTGCGGAGGGGAAATAAATTTCACGTGCACTTTTGAGAGGGGCAAAGCTCTAGTTGCTACAACCGCAACTGAGAAGACCACCACCACCACTTTCATCTGCAATTAAAATTCTCGGGTATTCATGCGCTTATTACGAATCTCTTTTTAAAATCCAACTTTAAAATATATTTGGAATTAAGCATTATTAATTTAGGCGTTGCTTTCTTTTTTCTTTACCGCAAAATAGCAGACCTTGCGGTCTATTTAAATAGTAGACATCCTCTTTTACTTTTACTATAGAAAGCATTCTCTTAAAAACAATAATAACAAAAGTAGGTCAAGGTATTTTAGGTTAATATTTCTACGCTCTACCAACCCGGATAACTGAAAGAACGAAACGTAAATGTTGAATGGCATTTACGAAACGGTGACGCCATCAGTAGACCCTGCTGAGAATGAAACAGATCTACCTGGATTGCCGAGTAGTTTATCTGACAAAAATTAATTGCGATCTCGGCATGATGCTGCCCAATATAGTCAGATAATCTGTTAACGTTCTCATAAAGGATAATCACGGTTCGTGGCTGACGTGCTCAAGCATATCTCGTTACGAATATGTACAAGATAAGGACGTAAGTAGAGTATCCACGATAGTGATTTGTTTGCAATCTCGTGTCGTGTATCATCGTCATTATGATGTATATCACCGAGTGGTGTTAGGCAAACTGTTAGACACGCGGATCGGGTGTTACCAGACTGACTATCACGCGGAACAATGTCCACTGAAATAAACAATTATCCTTCGACACGAACGTTTCATACATCAAAGCTAGTTTAAAGGAGAATCTGAAAGCGATCATCGAAGCAACATCCTCGACGCGTACCATAATTTGTACGTGTGTATATGTGTGTACATGTTTCTTTAGGATCACGTGCTTATGTTCAGCTATGTGTGTCTGCAGATATACGCAATAGACGACTGTGAATTGGTTCGCTCATACTACATGACTCGTAGCTGCGCGTCTTGCAAGGGATTACATAGATATCTGTTCGCGATTTCGTCATTCCGTTGTACATTCGAACGTCCGTAGAAAGTAAACGTCCAAATAGTGTTCATATTTTAGGTGAAACGCTGCTCTATTTCTGCCTTTTATATCTTATTATCGGGCGATTAATTTATAGGCCTGTTTTCCTTTATTACGAATCCGGTTATTCAACGATATTGGCTAACTTGTATATCTATAGTTTTCATCGCGCTTGGTGGCTTGCAGACGACCACAGTGTATTGTGTCATTGTTTCGACAAGCGCACCATCAATGAGTAATCGAAAATTGTGTTGGTATATAATATTTACTTTCGATTAATGAAATATTGTTGATTACTAACCATCCAGTTATTAACAAAATATCGACCCAGAAACACATACACTTTTCCTATACACACTGATTTAGTATTGAATTGTAATTAAAACTAGATCTTATATTTTCAATACGATCACATAAAACGAATACACTTGCGCTTAATAAGAATGTTACTGTATCAAGATAGTATCAGTTAAAGACATTCGTGTGTTCGATGGTGCGTGTCAAACTACCCTTTCGCCTTCCTTTCCGCTCACCTTCACTTGCAAGACTCCTATTAATTCTGCGCCCGTTGTAAGATAGTGAAACGTACATAGCAATGATGGAAAATTTTTCACCGCCGATACAGACACACGTATGCATTCGATGTAATCTTCTTTATAGAAATCTTTAGTTGCGAAATATTACATATTTCAGTGTTTCTCTAAAGAAAAAGATGCAATGTAAAAAATATAAAATGTGAGAAGAAAAAAATGAGAAAATGACAACAAATCTTTTTATAGGACTGTGATATAAAAAAAAAAAAAAAAAGATTAAAGAGACATTCTAAAAAGTATCTGTTGCGCACAAATACGTCAATTACATATTATTCATTAGATAATTACGATGATGTTGAATCACGCGAGAAAAAGTGGTTAACATTAATCAACGAAATCTTTATTTTGCGTATCGATGTCACTCATGAAAAAAATTGTCGACGTTCAATTACATCAACAAGCAGTGTTCTACCAATTAACCCAATCAAGTATCACGACCAATTAAATGTAGGAGCAGTGAGCAATAGAAATGAATAATCTTTATTTCATTGTATGAAAAAGTGTACATATGTCATCGACATGTTTTTATTTGTGCTTTTAATCGCAGAAATCAAGTTGCAATATATAGTAACAAGATTATTGATCGTGTCATAAATATACATAAAAAGCTGAAGAAATATCTGAAAATGTATTATTATAATACTCACCATTGACATAGTGAATAGTAATTGCAAAATTCCGACCACGATGTTCAGCTTCGTTCCACTTGTTGAGTTGCTTACACACTGGTGAACACTCGCGTGAAAAGGAAATTTCGACTGCGTATTTTTCCAAAATGATTTGCGTAGCGTCTTCTAGACACGACCAGGAACTGTTCCAGTTTAAATGTCTCGGGAGAATGTCGCGCGTGGGTTCCAGCATCCCCCTTCTTGTTATGTACCCCACCTGGCCAGAAATCAAGTTGCGAAGGTTCGTAAGGACTCGCACGGGGACATGGTAGAACTTTCATTTCGGTGAACGCGATGCAACCATCTTTTATACGCTTTAAAGGTGCCGCGCGCAAGGATGACCAATGGCTGCTTTCCATTGTATGCGCAAGATTGCGTTCGTCCGGCACGTGATGCGCAGTTGCGTCACCGTTACTACGAAATTGTCAAAAAGAGATGTCTGATATTTTTTATCGGTGAATTGTTGCATCGTTACTTAGAAAGCATATCTACAAACGCAAATGTAAGTTTTTCAAATGAAATCATGAATTTATATTAAATTTCTAATAAATCATAAATTGATTTCAGTAATTATTTAAATCTTTTCTGAAGCGCATTCGCATGGTACCCCGACATTTGGATGGAATTTCAAATCATGTTTAAACAATGTAAGTTTTATTACACGTATAATTATAGGAATTTGAAATAATTCTATTTGAAATGAGTCTGTATAATTAGTCAATATGTTTTAGTCAATGATTTTTAAATTTTCACAAAATAAATAAAACGTTATGATGTTATGATTCTATATTTTAAATAACCAAAATTGTTCACGACCAAAAACATTTCATATATTTTCATAAATTTTGTGCTGCGTTTAACTTTTGTTAATATTGAATTCATACCAAGCCAGAGGTATTTACAATAAAATCATATTGCTTCCCTAGAGGCTAAATTCCCGCGTATTTTTTTTTCTTTTCGTTTTGATATCATGGCGGTGCAGTATATTATTTAATAATAATAATCTTTGATTCTCGAAACATATATTCATTTGCAACAAATAATTTGTTACATAATAATTATTATTATTGTGTGATGTTTTAACTTACTTTGAATAATCGTATTGAAAACGCCAAACAGACATAACCTTAAACACTGTGTATTATTTGTTGCTTACTCAAAATTTTGGTAAAATATTCATAATATAAATATGATATATTGGAAAAATTACATTTTTTTACATTAAATAATGTATGAAGTATCACATATATTACATAATTGTAAACAGTGAACAGTATAAGATAATGAAATTGCAAAATATGTATGTATGAACACTACATGCTTGAGTAGGTTAGATTTTTGTGTATTTATGCACTTCATGTTTACTTAATTGATCTGCTTAATTAGTTTAACTCATGTGTTTTGAATTTGTTATAGAAATTTTGTGAAACATAAAGCATTCATATCAGTTTCATTAAATTCAATTAAAATATTGATTGTTTGTACAAAAATCATTATTTCAACAGCACAAAGTTTTATTTCAAAAGTACAATTGTTTATACATTTTATTTGAAGATATTGTTCTAAATCAAGTGTTGTGGAAATTGTTCACTATCATTTATTAGTTAAATTACAATACTATTTCAGGAACTAAAGGCAATATTTTACTTAGCATTATTTATTATATCAATCCTCACTTTAATTACATATTCCAATGTGTTATTACAAAATTGATAGTAACAAATTTTTATAAAACATATTGTATACATATGTTTCAAATATTATTGATGCATAGTATTACAATATTAAAAATCATTACTTTCTTGTTCTCATCATAAAAAGTTTAAATTCTTAACATCAGTAAAACATTTTGAGGGTAATTTTATCTATTATTAAAAAACATTACTTATTTTTAAAATCTGTAAACTACAAACATAATTTCTACTTTAAAAAGGCTTTCACTATTGTACGAATGAAATTTTATGTTAATACATATATGATCTTCCTACAACACAATTATTCATCAGTGTTAGCATACTGACTAGGTCTTCTGTTTATGTTTATTAAGATCACAATTATACATAAATGTATGATTATATTTAAAATACTTCAAGTTCTGATGCTTCATTCAATTAAAAATCTCTATATCTCGTGATTTTAAATAATCGTTAGTCAATTATGCAGCGTTTTGCTTTTTTCTTTTTTTTTTTTTTCTTTATCTCGCGTAAGCACGACTGTACGATTATTAGATCATGATAAATTATATCATGACGGAGCATTTCACTAGTTATATTAGAATCAGTGTTATTGTACTCTTTCTTTCTATTAGTCTACCTATTTTCAGAACTGTGATATACTGCTTTATTCCACTATGTTCAATGTATGTGACACAACTAATTAACGCGACTAACGTACCATTAAGATTGTCTCTCTTAATGGAGGAAGACAGTTGCTGTTTCGTCCGTTTCAGATCAATCAGATCGTTCCGTAATAAAGCACTATATTTTGTTTTCACGAAACACTTGTTCTCTTAATTAATCTTCGTCTCCTATTGTCTCGCACATTTAAACGTGACGCGACGTCGGTGCTCTTTAACTCCTTTGACATTTATATACGACACTTTCAAAGGAAAAAAATCGACACGCAATTTTTATCGCATTTCAATCTCGCCATTTTAAACCAGTCCTTTATTTTCCGTATTCCTGATGTATACTTATGAGGAACCAAAACGCTATCGCCAGAAGTATTGTTCCCGAAAGATCGCCCAGCGCCGTTAAATACGGAATGGCGGAATTATCCGGGTCGATTTTGTATCGCCACATAGCGTGGATAATAACATGCGCCACGTAAAGCAACAGCATGACCTGCGAAACAAAATTTTTTCTCAGTGATTCAAACCTTTCACTTTTTCAATACCACACTTGAATCAGGAGGCATTATAACTCACTTGTAGAACAGCCATGACGATGTAAGAAAGAACGAAATATATGCGTAACGTGGACGTCCCATTTCTGATATAATCGGCAGCAAAGATGAAGATTGTTTCGCCGAAAATCGCCATGCAAATGAGTATTCTGGCTGTTTTCGCGTACAGCGCTAGAGAATGAAAGCGAACGTTATTGTGTAATCGCCGAGAGCTGCGAAAAAGCATGTGTAACAGCGTAACATTACTAATTCTTGCATCACTCACAGCCTCTAAAGAGCGCTTTCCACGGGGCAATGAATATTTTCGAGTGTGGCGGCAAAATTCCCATAATCGTTGTCTGGTGTAACGTAGTTGAGATTCGAGATGCTTGTACAGAGACTAAATTACCACCAATTCCGTTTATGATTGGCTGAAAGATCACGAATCCATTGAACGAGTCAACGACTTGATCAAGAACCAGACCACCAAATCTACATTAAAAAAATATACATAGGTAATAAATAATAGAGAGCGCGATTCATTCTCGAGAATTATTCCGAATTGAAAATGGTACAAACCCACTGATGAACAAGGCCGATAGAACGGGAACCCATCCGGATGTTAAAACATTTCTGGTATATTTATTCTTGAGAACCACGTAGATCCAGAATGGTAAAATTAAGAAATAACAGCCAAGTATAATATACAGGATCCATGGGTCTACCGTCATTCGGTTAAACAGCGCCGATGCGATTGCCGATAGGACGGTAATTGATACGACGTCTCCGAAGGAGGCAGCCAAAGGTGTAGCTAGATTGTCAGGATTCATTTTGCATCGATACGAAATCATGATGACGGCGATCATTACAAAATCTGCGAGAAAAGAAACGTTAATGAAAACATCGAAGCAGCGCAGTCATACGTTGTGAACTTGCTTTTTTTACGATACAACATAACAATGACTCATTGTTAACAATTACTTAATGTAGCGCGATGTGTTGACTGATACGAATTAGTGTGTTTACAAGTTTGAAATATATATATCGTAAAGGGGAAATTTAATCTGCATCCGGTAATGATTTTTACCTAGAATGAAGCAAGAGCTGGTCGCAGTGCAGACGCTAGCTGTGGCTAATAACAGGCAATTGTTCCATTTGAAAGTATACGCGCTACCTTCCGCTATCGCGTCGACCACAATCGCGAAAATCGATACCAAGACAGCCGCGACGATCGCCTGTATCTGCACCAACGCGATGTTACCAACAATCATTTTCACGATCTCTCGCAGCTCGTGCATGTTGCCCAGATTGGCTTGCGTGGACAGCCGCGAGGCCAAGCACATGTCAAGATTGCCCTTCAGGCCTAACAGCGAGGGCACCAGAATGAATAATTGAGAAATGGCGCGAAATACTGGCCAGTCCTGAAACAGAGACGACATTTAATTAAAGAGGACCACGTTCCTCGGGATATTCTTACAAATGGAATGCAACCAGGAATGTTAAATTACGTTTCAAGAATTTCTACATTAGTAGAAGCCGATAAAATCTTGGATCGCGGCCTGAATGTTTGGAACCCGAAGGGCTGAGATTGCTGGAGAGTAGCGAGAGATCAGGAAAAAACGGTATTTATGCAAAAGATTCTCGAGATTACGACCCTATTGCTGTTGGGCTATCTTCGATTATGTTTCATTTGTACAGCAAATAAAATACAAAAGATAAATAAAAAAAAAAAGACGTTAAAGACATCTGTTTTAACATTATCTACAAATAATAAAAGTATGCGATCGATAAGGGAAACTTATTCTCAGAAAAAATACGTGATTTACGATGAATGTAGATTTTTGATTTATACAAGACAATCGAATCTGAGATGGCAAGTTGCTTTCGGTGTTTATTGATATTGAAGGGAACGTACCTTGACGTCTGCAAGCACAAGGCCTGCACCGATTGTACCTAGCCCGGCGATGAAAAAAGGCACAGCAACTTGAAGGGTGGTCTGATACCATCTTTCATGTCTGTGTGTGCTGTTACCAAAGCCATCCGTGTTATTATGGAAGTCGGGACCAGGATCTGAATTTGCGACGGAAGAGATGGTCACTATCGAACTTCCGCTGGAAAGTGTTCCACCACCAAGATTGGGCAGTGACATGTCCGTTTTGTTCTTTGGGCTGTTAGGGTTTTTCAGACCCGCTATCGAGAAATCAATACATCTCACACTGCACCGTACGACATTTACAAAGACAATTATTAATCGTCGATCGCGAATTACTTACTAAAAATATTTGATACTTTTCACGAATTCTTTCTCAATTGACACAAGTTAGCGGTATGTCGTTATTATTTCGACGCTCTTGGGACACTCATCTACTCGCTTCGAACAAGCAAACAAGAACAACGAATAATATTATCAACGCCAGAATGATTGTCGTTATTTATAAATCATTTTACCATGCAAACGCGGCATGTATTTCCTTATTGTCTCGTGCTCCCACAGACAATACGACGTGGCGAATATTTTGATCGACTAGGCGATTATTTTGTCAATACGATCGTTATTAATTAACACAACAATTTTCATTAATATCAATCTGTAGAACATGTCCGCGCAAAGTGTATGTTTCAATCGGTTCCCTCAGTTCTCCGAGCTCCGCGTTCGCCAGTTGTTTAATGAAATCGTGCGCGGAACAATGGAACTTTTGCATTATCATCGTCCGCAGCAACACTCGTGATGCGTTCTATCGTACCGCGTTAATTTCTCATCAGAAGGAGCTATTGTCTATAAATGTCGTACGGTGAGCTTTTGAACGGAGTATTTTAAACATTTTTCGAACGTAATGAATATAACGATTATATTTCTCAATGGAAATTGAGGAAATTTCTTTTCTTTTTTTTTTTTTTTTTAATATCAAGGTTCTAAGTATTACAGGCCACAGTGTGCAAAGAAACAATTTTAACTCATTTCTCACCTGCTACTTTCTTTACGACATCCGGTTCTGCTTTAATGTCGCCAGTTGCGTTCAATTTATTGTCGATTGCCTTTTCCATGCAATCGAAATCTAACGCATAGTTATCTTTGCCATTCGACATGTCCGCTCGTTGTATGGTGAACGCGTGATCCTTAACTCTTCCCTCATCAGTATTGTATACGTGTCCATTATGGTCCACGCACTCGTTCAATATAATATCGGTGGTGTTTAACAGCGTCGGTTCAGTCGACGAGTCCGGAAAAGCGACCATATCTGCAATATTTGTTCACGATTCGATGAAGATTCGGCTCAAGCAAAGGTGTCATTCGTCTGGTTATGACATTTAAGCGTAAATCAGCATAAGTCACGTGTATACATTGGACACTGTCCGTTTAGCATGAAGGCAATATAATTTTGAGCAAACAAATATTTTCGCATTGGAATCATTTTAACACATACCGAGTTCGGTGTTGGCGGACGATCTTGTAATATCCCCTACGAAATTGGCAGAGTCCAGGATCGACTTGTGATACTTTCACGTCAGACTTGCCTATTTCGGTCAGTCTTGATCTTTAAAGTTCAATAAAAGTATTATTCGCATGAACGGAATATCAACATACTTTACTGAATTATGAACACGCAGAGTTCATTCAGAAGATAGAGAAAGAATACGAGAAAGAAAATTGATTCGTTTTCGACGATTTATTTTATACAATACTTTTGAGTAGTCACAAAAAGGACGCCCAGAGTCAAATAAAAAACTATGAAATTTCAAAAAACATAGTTATAAATACAGTAACAGGCAGTAAAAATAAAAGAACTCTCAAGACAATTTAGAGCTTGTGAATTTAAAGAAATTAGAAATAGAACATATTCCATTTATCAAGTTTAAAATATTCTGTTACATAAAAATTTCGAGCGATGTCACTCTCTTAAAAAATATTCAAGAAAATCATTATATTTGATACAACTACATTGGTATTACGTCGAATAAATTTAATATATTTTATAAATAATTGTTTAAAAATAGTTGTAATATTATGTAATATTAATGTTATGAAAATTAAAAACGTTATTAAATTTAATTACCCTGTAACAAGAGAAAACGGAATGAGTGAGAATTCGAACATTGATTTAAAGGGAAATTGTTGTAGAAATGTGATCGAAATCGAGCCAATTTTTAATGCGTAATAGGTTCAATCACGATTGGTTGATAAAGTGTTAAGTATGAAGATACTAGATGACCGATATTGATCAGAGAGTTTTTCTTTAACTGATAGTATACAAGGATATTCATGGACTGATAGCTAATTGTAAGTGTCTTTCTACTCTCTTAATGTCGTTGCTCTTAGTCTAGACGTTTTGATAGCACATGAAACTTTATATACGAAATCAGCATAGTATCATTAACGACATGAGGAACTTAGTTCTTGTATTACTATTAATCTAAGTCCACGTGTCGCCGGATTTAAATTTCACGCGAGCGAAAATGCTGAAAACAGCTATTTGCAGTGCTTCTCGAGAATCTACTTAGCAGGCAACATTTTTTTGTGAAATTGTTAATCTCGCCTTATCGCCCGTTATAAAAGCAACGCTTTTAACAAAGTCTTTAGGCTTTACGGATTTGTCTCCACTCGACAGTGAAAGAATTCTCGTTAACATGCTGTAGGTAAAGAGAGTTAATGCGACGCGCTTGTTTGTAGAAATTTACTCGATTATATTTAATGAGAATTTAATGTACATGATAATGCCGATATCTTGATAACAATAAAGAACATGTCATTTCGTAAAACAATAAGTTACTATTAACGATGCATCTGTCAAATCGTACACATTTTTTTTTTTTTTTTTTTTTTTGAAATAACGAATTGAAACACCATGCAGTATGTTGCTATCAGCTTAAGTACCGTATTTTTTTTTTCGTTTTTTTCTTTAATGTTCGAAGCACGAAACTTCGCGTTATCGCGCTGATTGCTCGCTATCGTAAAAACTAAACGATATTGTTAAGTTAAGAGACCAAGTTACTCGCGAGTTAGAAAAAGACAGGGAGCACCGAGATGTAACAAGATGAAAAAGGCAAGAAACAAGAGAAAGAGAGAGAGAGAAAAAAAGATTTATTTATCTATTTATTTTTAAATAAACTCTTATCCTGACTCGATACTTACGTGGTAACGATGTATTGAAGAATTTGCGCCAGCGTGTCGACGTTTCCTCGTAAAGCGTTTATTGTTCCTTGATATTCGATTAACCCTGTGGCTTCTGACTGTGTGCGGTGGCTGTTCGATCTCGTTGTCCGACACGCGTGTGATTTCGTACGGGACTTCTCTCGGCTAGCGCTACGTGAGTCGAAATAAAAACCTGGCCCCGCGGTGTCGCGATAGGGTACTGCGATCGATGATCGATCCAGCGTTGAGGGGATCGTAGAAGAAGAGGCGCGGAGATCCCAGCGAAGAAACGGAACGAGGAAAGCGCGACGATTTCCGCACGGTAAACGCACCACTGTCGCGCGTACTCAACTGTTTGCCTCACGCGGTCGTGACTGACTGATAAAAGAAGCTTTAGTTCGTTTGTCGGCACTTCTACCGTTCATATGCATGGATGCGACGTGCTGCTGTTCGAACATACGCACGTGCGCTATCTCGACCGACGATAGTGGGAGAACTCATTGTAAATATATCATAGATCGTAGATCATTGATTCGCGACATTGCTCGCGAGCAAACGGAATCGACCCAGGCAATTCTCGGCTTCTCCCGCGTTTCCAGCGACTTCGATCCCTATATATATATACGGTGGTACGCGGAACAAGTGATAATGATTCGAGAGAGAAAAAAAAAAAAAAAGAATTGGAATTTAATTAAGACGCAACGCTCCTGTTACAAAATAAAAATAATCGTGGGAGGCGTAATCGATGTTCTTCAATCGTTTCCGCTACCGATCCTTGTAAAATCGAGGTTGCCATCAATTTCATTTGCATCCGTGCCTGATCGAAACAAAAAAGCGAGTTATCTAAATTATTGCATTCGCGTGCTTCCGTTTGTTGCATTCTCCAATTATCAGCGAGGATCTCTGTTATATCTTTACTCCAAGTAATAACGTGCGCGATCGTTCAAGGTTGGATTGATTCAACTTTGGAAAGAAGAACGAATGGTGCTAGGAAATCATTCCTTTTTTTTTTTCTTTTGTGTCCGACGGAAGGACGAACGAGCGCGAATATCGCACAATGTGAAACGAACTGAATATCATATGATCGATCGAATGTTCCGGCGCGGCCGAGAAGAAGCATCTCACTTCCATTTTACGGTATCTCACGTGACGCAAAGGCGATCGCACGGCTGTAAATCTGTCGACATCGCAACGCCATCATTTTCAGGGGAATTTCTTTCAACAATTGATATTCCGTGCGTGTAGTTACGCGAGCCGAATGGGATTTACCTTCATTCTTTTCAATGACGTCACACTCTACGATTTCACGAAAGAACGAGGAAGCATGTACCTGGTATGTGACACGCGGTATCTTAATTACAGATTTGATAGATGGTATTGTCGAATAGTTGAACAATTAGGTGTTGAGTTAGGTTCAGGTGATCCATTAATTTTGTTCAACAACTATGACCGAATATAATTATTTTAAAGTAATGAATCTGAAATTACTTCGCGCAAGTGTTCTTCACACTACAACTACCAAAGCGACCAATTTATAATTTCGGTTAGAAATTTTATTCACGTCAAACAGTGTACGTTAGAAATTTTATTCACGTCAAACAGTTACGTCAGAATCGAATGATTTTACGCAAAGTTTTGACGCGAAGTGTTTTAAAAATTTAAAACTGACTACAAATTTTATGTTTCAGTCGTCGATAGTTCTGGCGTTAAAGTGTAGAAAGTGTGTGGAAGAGATTAGAATTTACCTTGAACGGACGCCGTTTCATTGAAAGTGAAAAAAAATTCAAATTGTTTCGTTCATTATGCAGTCAGACTGAATATTTGAGGATAAGAAACCTTTTTTTCACGAGCTTGTCATTAATCACAGTTACCATATCACAACGCGAGTCGTCTATTTGGATAATATTATTATTTTCCTCACCTTATCCCTCACAGTGTCAGAGTGATTTCATTAGATAGCAGGGACTATATCAGTCAGTTCGTGCAGAGTTTATTACTTAAAGAATCACAGATTTTATTTGACGCAACTCCATGCAACGTACGGTTGGTAATCGAGTCCGATTCGTTCGAAATCACTGTTAATACGCCTGTTGACACAATCTGACGTTGAAACGTCTAGAAACGCGATTCACGCATGCCTTTCGAGGGATCATAGCTGTGTACGCGAGTCGATTGAGGATGATGAGAACGACGATTATAAACGATAACACAAACTATAGGTCGAGTACGTGCCGTGATGTTTACAATTCAAAATACAAGTATCGTACAGTTATTTCATTTTCTTAGTTAAAAGGGGTAAAACGTCGGAACGATAAACCACGCGTGTCGTATTTGCCAATCTGTTAAATTTTTTTATCAATTTGTCAGTAAAGAATAAGCAATTTAAACAAACAAATATTACAGAATTTTGACGTTCGAAGATTATTCTTGACGTTGTTGGCATGTCCAAAATTTCCAAAAATTTAATTGATTTTATTGATTTTATTATCTGCGTTCACTAGATAATAAGTTAATTCTCTTCGATATCGTTACCGCGACATAAAAAATAAAACCTTTCAGTCGCTAATAACTCGACAGCTTTCGTTAATCTGAATACTACAGCGTAAACAAATTTTATAGCACCTTCATTGCCGGCTGTAAAACCGGCGTTGTGAAATGTATTACACACTATTTGATTAACAGTGATTTTCCATATACTTACTGTATTTCGTATTTTTTTATTTTCCACATTTTTTTTTCCCCGTCCGACTGATGTGACACAAATGATATACTTCTGTTGCATTTATCTTATTGTTGCAGTACTATCACATAGTGTCTTGGGAACATGAAAGATAGGAACTTCCTGTGTATTGTTTATCCCTAGATTTCAATACGATATATATATATTTTTTTTCTTTTCTTAACGTTACCGCATTATTTCCCGGACAGTGCCAGTTACCAGTAGTCTTAAAATTCAACATGATCGTCGTTGGAAACGAATTACAATAAATTGAGGAAAACATCGATTCGTCTTCTTGGAAATAGAAAATGTCTACGTTCGTTGGGTTAGGTATTCCAAAGAAATAATCCTAATTTATTCCTTATTGTGTTGTTCTTTTCAAGGTTGACGTATTATAAAAAGTTTATTTTCTTAATAGGATTTACGAGGATAAAAAGAAGTACTGCTTAAGATCGTATCTCGACTTACGTGCAACTTAGAATCTCAATTGCCATGTATTTCAGAGCGATATCATCGGAAAGTATTTTGTCTAATATTTGATCACGAGAGGTATACTTACTGTTGACCTTCAATCGATTGTACGTCGAGAGTTTTGTTTGTTACAATGGACATTTGTCATTGATAATTGAGATATTACTATAATTATAAGAAACCTTTGTGTCGCGGGTGTCGCGGAAATGCATACGGTACTGTAACATAAGTTCAGAAATAGGTAATCGTTATGATTCTCATTGATTGTTAGATTAGTTAAGATATGGTTAAAAATGGTTATCATGACGCAAACGATTTTAGTGTTTGATTTTCAATTTTATCGATGATGATTACATTTACTTTGTTAAATTTTATCGATGTTCCTGATTATAATTCCATTAAGTTGATAACAAATCAGACCGTAATATCATTATAACTCAAAATAATTAGTTATCGTTTTCTATACTGCAGTCGTATGAATCGAACGATTAAAAATTATTTAATAATTTTCCTATAAGTTTTTATAATTTATAACAGACGTATGACGATATGAATTGATATGTGGTAAAACGCAATTAATTTGCGACTAAATGTTACAACTGCACAAATTTTTTTCAGTAGAAATCTTCACTGCGATGGCTCTCGATCGAAATAGATTTATAGACTGGGGATTATATGATAAAATGAAACAACAGTGCTAATGATTATTAGACTATATTATTGGACGTATCCAACTATTCTTGACTAACAAATAATATTTATCGACGAACAACGAACCTCTATGAACTTACATCGTAATTTTGATTCTCGAATATTTTGATTTTTGCTCCTTCGATTTTTGTACCCTCTGATCGTGTCAGAACAATTGCTAACAAACATTTTAAAATAATTACCAAACTTTGTTACAATGAATATTAATACAATAAAGTTGATTACGTGTCGCGTTCCCGATCTCTCTCGAAGGTTTTAAAAGATATTTCTCGCTCGGTGGTAAAAACATTCATTGACAGGAATGTACAATAGCATTTGTGAGATATCGTATATCTAACTTATATAAAAGAACTTGTCTCCAGATGGAATTCGATCAGATTGTTCATTGTTTGTGTATTGAATTCAAGGAATGAAACTGTGGTTTCACCGATGTGCATGGCCTTCCATACAAGTCAGATATACTGGACACACTGCAAATCGTCTCTTTCAATCGTTTGACTCACATACAACACCGCGTTTACTTCGAACCTCTCGCATACACGTATTATTCGCAGTTACAAATACTCCACAATTTTGTTCATATCGATTAAATCGCATTTCACTTCTCGCATGTTAGTATCATTATCTTTGTTCCTCGAAAAGAAAGTCAAAACATAGTATAAAGCAAGGTATAAATATTAAAACCTCTATCGTGTAAATACTTATAAATATATGTATTTAGATGAAAGCATTACATTAGGAACATTCGGTTTGCTGTAGTCTAACGTTACGTTACAGCTCTGGCTTAAAATTATGGATCTCTTTTGTTCTTCGCTTTTTTACCTTCTTCCTTATTTTTTTTTTTTTTTTTTAAAGATCTTCTGTTCAATAAAAACATTCTATTGCGTAGAAAAGATATTCTTCTATATTGTGAAAAAATCTCGTGTTCTTCTCTTGTTTCGAGAAAAGTCGACACTCTCATATTTGCAAAAATAATAATTTCGTATATTTTCCGCAAAAAATACTGCAGTGTGCTCTTATTCTGTTTATCTCTATTTTCTTTCTTTCTTTTTTTTATTTTCATTTGTTTCGTTGGTGCTGACTGAATGGCCGGCTTGAAAGTTTCTGATCATATCAGACGAACGTAATTGTCTTCCGTTTTAACGTTCCTCGTCACATGTTCATAATTAACATACTCGTCTGTATGCAATTACACAAAATGACATTGATTTCTTGCGATGACCGTTCGTTATGTACACACACATAATTTGCGCACCTCTTCTCCCGTAAATATATGCATATATTTTAATAATTCGTCATCGAAACAGTGTTCTCTCTTTTTTTTTTTTTTTTTACTTGTACTTGTGGTTCACCGAATAGATACAGTCATTTTAATTACACTATTTTCACCATTATCCGCTAAGAGAGAAACTAGGGGACCCTGAATTGTGGTACTTATCGATCGTAAATTTTTTTTTTTCTCTTAAATATTTATCGCGAGTGGATGTCCACAGATCGTCGTTTAGTACGTTTAACAACTAATTTTGATTTTCTCTCAGTTACTTATACCACTATCCATGTTACGTATTACGATATCCTTACTTATTAGATATAATTTCGTCGCTTAACGATATTGCTTAACTTTAAAGTGTACACAATATTCGCACAAATTCACACACGTACATACACATTGTTGTTTAGAGACGTAGAAACAGAATTTCTAAATGTGTGTACATATAATCGAATAAGATACCAAGGACCATTCCTTCCAATTGTAACATCAACTCGTAGCGTAACTTCGATTTAAGTAAAGCTTAACTTAGGAACGTACGTTTATATAACACGTTAATAGGAACTGAGTAAGTTGTCGTGTATCACTTTATCATATTATACCACTTCCGCGCCAAGTGTTCACCAGTGATATTTACAAGTTACCTAAATACATACATTTTCGAACGCCGAATTTGCGCGTCGATGATCAATATCATCCGTTTTTTCTTTCTTTTTTCGTTTTGCTCCTTCGTTCGCGGAGTACAATAGCGGTGACGCTTGTTTCAGTCGAAAAGTACGAATAATTAGTTGTTACGTGAATTAAAGTAGTCGTAAAATATGTTGTGTCATGCACGTACTTACTTCTGTGCGTTCGGAATTACTATAGCGCTTGCATAATATTTTCAACCGAAGAAGTATTATTGTCAGGCGGTTTTTCCGAGTTTATGTAAGAGGAAAATTAAATTTACTTGATCCTCGTACACGTGTATATAATAGACGTATAAAATACAATCGTTTCGAAATTGTTCCGGTTGGAACGCGTGAGATGAGATCGAGCCAAACTTAAAATGTTTCACTGTTAAATTAGAAAAAAATATCCGTGCATTTTGTGAAAAAAATCATTCACCGTTGCAAGCGTATCAAATTCCTATGAAGAATGTTAGTCGATTATTTTAAAATCAACCACCTACCGGTTTTAATCAGGTGCCACTTCGCTCAACAAATGTTTAAACAAAAATTTTCAGATCCTATATCTTTGAAGCTTGCCTTTTGGATAACTTTATCCAGTTATTTATCTTCACTTACTCTTGGATGAAAATTTGATTTACAATCTCGCTTGTGTTTTCGTGTTCCCCGTTTACGCGGGATTTTATGAAAGCATGGACAGAAAAAGGTGTGGAAAAGTGAAAGGCACGTGTCGCTTAAAAGGGGTGCACGTGAGTCCGTTCACCCTTCCGCTCGGTGGAGCTCATTCACAATGGCCATGTTAATTCCTCGCGTTTTTTTCCCGACATCGACCCTAATTTCACGATTTCGATGCGTTTTACAAACTTTTTCCTTTCTTTCTTTCTTTCTTTCTTTCTTTCTTTTTTTCCATCATCCTTGTGCCCGGGACCCTTGGTGGCGCGCGTGGTATTCCTCGAAACAGCGGCACGCTCCCATCTGTCGTCGTGGTCGCTCGTCGACAGGTCGTAGGAAAGAAAATAGGGGAGAGGCGGGTCGGTTACAATGGAGTTGGGAAACGGGCTCGCGCTAAGCCAGGAGATGGGCGAAGGGGCGAAATCTTATAAAAGATTTCCAAAATATTGTGTAAATCGGCTGGGGTGCGCGCCAGCTGAAAATTTGGGGTGAAATTCGTCGAAACGGTAAGCGTATGCCATGGCGCGCACCCGGCACGCTTCACGCGACAC